GTATTAATAGTGGAATTTTTACCAGTCCTGGCAATGGAAGTTGTCATTTTGAAATTTCTACCTAGATTTTATACCATATCAGTGGTTGTCATAGTAGCAGTCTCTATTGAGAATTATGATTATATACTTTATCAAATGACTACTTGATGGAAGCTCAATTATTCTAATGTAGTTCAGTCAGAATTCTGAGCCATCATCTTGCCCAGTTAAGGGAATAATTAACCAGCCTAAAGAAGAAATTGCTTTCTTTCTGTTGAATTATATAAATTTTACCTTATTTTATTGACTGCAAGGTGCCATTAGCTGTAACACACGCCATTATTTTATGTACCACTAAGGAAAAAAAGCCTAATAGTTGTATTCATTAGATATATTCATAAGATATAACCCAATTTCAGAGCTGTTAAAAATGTTTGTATATTTGAGGGGATGTTTACAATCAATAAAATATGGCACATGTTTTTACACAGTTTTAGTTGAATAGAAGTTATATTCATAACATTAAAATATAAAAGAAACTATTAAATGAATTATTATTTCTGCCAGGTATGTGGATTCTTTGATCCTGGAAGCCTAAGATTGGAAGAGATCATGTAGTCAACACTTAAATATGGGGAAATCTGTAAGATCATCAAGAGTACATAAAAATTAGAAGTTGACTACCTTTTTAAGCAAAGTATCTTTAGAGCAGTATTCCTTTAAATAGCTGTCTTTAGAGTATCTCATGAGAAATTTTATATACTCCTTTTCAAGATCACTTCACTTAATGTATAAAAGAGAATAATTTGGGATTTAGATGAGTTGTTTAGTATTCCAAACTAGGTGCACACTGAGACACAGTATGTTCAAGAGCTGTAATCATAAAATACCACTTTGAACACCATATAGAATTTTTTTTTGGGGGGGGGGAACCGGGGATCGAACTCGGGTCCTTGTGCTTGTATAGAATTTTAAAGAGTCATTCTTCTGCCTTCTGAGAATTGTTGCATTCTAACTGTGGACATTTCCCCCTTCATATGTAATGTACAGTTTGCAGTTAAGTTGTGTTGCGAGTTGTGTGTGGTGAAAAGGTTAGTGACATTGCCCATGTGCTTCATCCTAGACAGCTCTGAGGTATGCCTTGCCCAAAGACTTGTACTGTATTACTTTTCAACCTTGGTGTTAGATTTCAGACTTGCTCATCATTGAGAAAGCCCAAATAGACTTGCTAGTGTAGACATTGTCAAGTGGCTAGACATACTATTTGAAGCCTCCAGTTTCCAGAAGGTGAATACTGCAGGGCATGAGCCAGCTGGTAGCCTTGTGGAGATGTGAGGTCCATAACAGGCACCTGGCCTGGAGTGTGAGTTCTCAGTGCAGATTTGGAAATAATGCTACAGGATTTGGACATTGGGTGTGAGGTGAATGACAGAGTCTTGGTTGTTGACCCTCATCTTCAAAGTCAGAGCAAGGTTCACAGCAACTCAGGACCTGCTTGGCCCACAAAGTAGGGAACAGCAAGCTTGGTGAGGAGGGGAGGAAGTGTCAGTAACTGTGCTGCCTAAGAGAGTATAAGGGTGTGGGGAGCCAGCTTCATCTTTGGGTTTTGGGTTTTGGTTGGTTGCAGATAATGTTTGCTGCTTGGGTACAGTTGGGACTAATAAGGTTTCCCTTTGTAGAGTGTTTTCAACCTTTATCAAAGTGCTTTCACAAACATGTAAGTTTGCCTTCATAATAAACCTGAGGGGGCTGAACTGGATATTAATTATCCCATTTGGCAGATGTGGAAAATGAGGCTCACAAGTATTAAGTACCTAACTTTAGGGTCACTTGTTTTCTGATCTTGCTTTTTTTTTTTTTACTGTGCATGCTTCCAATGGTTGACTCCATATTTATCTCCAGATTTAGAAAGCATATAGTAGCTTTACAGCAGCTGTTGCTGTCTTTAGGGAGTGCCAACATTTTGTTGCTTTTTACCTCCCAGATCACAAGCATAACTTTTGGTCAGTATTGAAAGGAACAGTAAGCATCGTGGCTTCTCAGATTAAACTACTTTCCTGTCACATTTTATGGGTCAGTTTTGGAAGTGGTAGATAGTACTTAGGTCTGCCTTGCCCTGTTTAAAACTCAACTCACTTCACTTCACAGCCTTTGCTTGTGAGGTTACCTGCAGTAAACCACATACAAGCCCAGACAAGGAGAGTGCAGTTAGAGCAAGTTAAGCAAGAGTGGCTGGAATTGTTGGTTGTGGCCATAGAACAAGCTGTACCCCTGGCTGGGTGGTTTTCTAGGTCTCCTCACACCTGGAGAGCTTCTGCTGTTTTGAGCAGCTTGCTCATGGCTCTTCTTCCTGTTACCAGTTCCTTCCTGTTTCTGTCCAGACAGTACCCATTAAGCATTCTTTCCTGTAGTCTGCTCCTGTAGGGGTGTGGACTGTGGATGTTCGTGGTTTTCATCTCTGTAAATTTTGCACATAATTTTTCTTTTACCATAGATTAGACCTAAATAGAGGATTTATATAAGGATGTGGGGTCATTACTGTGAGTAAAAAGCAGAGTGAATGGGAGAAACAACATGACTAGCAGATCTGCCTGGTAGACCACGTGTTGCCTTGCTGATTAACTCTGGATTCCTCACACCCCTCTTTATCTTCTGAATAGGAAGTTGTCTTATTTGACAAGTGTCCCTTTCAGTTCCAAACCTCATTGAGATCCCTGAACTAAATATGTAAGATTGTATTAAAGGTAGGATGGCTGCGAACTCCTCCAGTGGTAAAAAGTGTGATCTAACTGAGCTGAAATACTGTTGGTAATTTTGTCACTAATTAGGAATTGAATGAAAACAGAAAATAGGGATTCATGTTTGTTGAAACTCAGCTGGGAGTGGTGGTATACATCTGTAATTCCAGCTGCTCTGGAGGCTAAGGCAGAAGGATCATAAATTAGAGGCCAGCCTGGGCAAATTAGCAAGCCCCTGACTTAAAAAACAAAACAGAACAAAAAAATACCTTAAAAAAAGTATTGGGGATATAGCCCAGTTTGAAGGCCCTGGGTTCAATCCTTAGTATACTGCAAATATACAATAAAATAAACTCAACTGAAACCCACTATTATTAGCATTTTTTTTTTTTTTGAGCTTGGATCCTGATCTCCGTTGTACACCTAAGACTTGATACACCCATGATCAGTGTGGTGGATTTTGAAAATATCTTTCAGTGAAGACTGATGGACTTCTTGACTTGTTTACTCATTAGTGCAGATTAAGCATGTCTTGAAGTGGCTGTAGAATTCAGGAAGTGTAGGAACAAGTGAAAGAATACTAGTTGTAAAGAAATTGTAGAGGTACAGTTTAACGGTAGATATTAGGCTGTTACCCTGTATTACCTTTCAACCCAGTAGATGATATGCCTGGGTTGCATACTAAATAGATGGCAGTTTAACCGTTTGTATGTATTTAATCTGGAGAAAAGCAGCCATAACTTGTGTTTATTGTAGTAGACTATGGAAATAAAAACAGAATAAAATGATAATAAAGTTTGGTATATTCAAATCAGTACTAGATTTTTTCATAACACTTTTATTGTGTTCAGATGCCATAGATTACTCAAAAGGGCAGATGAAACGTATCATTATTCTTTCCAGAAAAATAATACTTACTGCGGATTTTGCATACAATCTGAAGTGTTTCTTTGACATCTCATTAAGTTGATGGAGCCTTGCTTTCTTTTTCAACTGGTATTCCTTAGTCCAAACTCTTGATAATAAAGAACCCTTTGAGCTGGAGCTGGGCATGGTGGTTTATGGCTGTAATCCCAGCACTCTGGGAGGCTAAGGCAGAGAGGGCCGCAAGTTCAAGCTCAGCCTAGGCAGAGTGATACCCTCTCTCAAAAAAAGGTGTAAGGATGTAGCTCATAGAAGGCCCCAAGTTCATTCCCCAGGACTGGGAAAAAAGAAAAAAAAAAAGACAAAGAAGGAAGGAATAAACCCTGGCTGTTAAGCCTTAAATGTTTGTCAAAATAATGTAGACCAGTGTTGATCTTGAGAACCACTGAATGGACCAAGACCAACATTAGAATGGAAACAAAAAGAATAAAATAGAAAATATTACAGAAAGTTTTGTGAATGCTCTTCCCATTTGTATTTATCCGTGTTAGTACTGACTCTGAATAAAAAATGTATTTTTTTACTGTAGATTGGGCATAAAGCTTGAGACATACATATCTATTATAGATGAATCTTTTCGTTTTTACAACTGGGGAAACTTAACCCTAGAACTAAATGACTTTTTCAAACGCCCCTTCCCATTTTAAGTGGCCCAGCCAGGACTGAACCACATTACTTGCTTGCTGATTTCATAATGCTATTGTGCTGCCTTGCTAGGTTTTTGAAATAGATTATTTTAAAGCATTAAGTGCCTCATCAACTTTGCCCCTGCCATTTTTGAATCTTTCATTTTTCCCACTGAAATCAATCTCTGTCATTGTCCTTTAAGATAAGCTGGTCTTTAGCTACTTTTCCAGAGAATGGGCAGATATCTTGGGCCCTCACAAACCTGAATCTTTCAGTTTTGACATTTAATCAGAAGAATTTCAGAATAAGATATGAGGGTTTAAATTTATGTGTAAAACAAATTAAATTATTTTGAATTATTTGTTCATTTATTTGAGAGTTGAATGCAAAATGTGGCAGTTGATGATATAGGATCTTTATGAAGACATTTCTAACAGTCCTTAGTTGTCTCTCAAGTTTTTTCAAACTTGAATGCCATACAGATTATGAAGGGTCTTGTTAAAATGCAAGTTCTGATCTAGAATCTGGCTATTAATTAGCATTTTAAAACTTTTCTTAGAAACTTACTTGTCCAAGTAACCGGAGTCTTTAATTTAGAAAGCATTTTCTAAAATATTGTATAATTTTCCTTCTCAAACAGTTACATGTACTTTCCCACTTCAGCTTAGTGGTGTTAAGAGTTATGTTTTTTGGAGCCTTTCTTTTTCATGAGTTATTGACTTATATGCAAAATGAATAAAATCCATAAAACCTTCTCTGTTGGTTCTCCTATGGTTTTTCTATTTGTCTCATTTAGTTGCCAATTAATAATGTCTGCCTTAAAGCTGCTGTTTTTTCTTTCTGTTCTAATTGATTACTTCTGACCTGAAAAGCTAGATAATACTAGATGTGTTAGAAATATGTAGGAGGGCCTGCCTGGTGTGGGGTCTTTCCGAGGAGGGGTGTGATCATGACGTTAGTAGCACCAGAGGAGAGAGAAATCTTTGGTTTTAACCTTCTTCTGCATAGGTATAAAATAGGGGCCTACTTGTTTGTTTTCGTAATGCCTTTTTCCAGGTGCTTTTTAGATTGGTTTTCTAGATTTCTCCAACTTTGTTCATTAAAAGTGTGTGTGGAGGTGACATGCAAATGTGTAAATGCCCTGTGATTGATCACACAGGATCTGTAGTAAGCAGTACTCAGGACCATCCAAAACTGCAGTGGTAACCTTATGCTGAAGACTGTGGTTCTTGTGCACAGTGTGTTTTGCAATGGTTTTGAATAATAATAATGTCAGCTCCTTGATTCAATTTAGTGATTTAAGATCCTAGGGATTTAAAGACTGATTTCTGCTGTACTTACTGTCTTTATTAGATTATTAATTACCGTAACAATCATACACTCATTTACTGAGTCCCTCATTTTGTCAGGCAGTCATTAGTCAGATGAATATTGTGTAACAAGCAGGGCTGTGGTCCTGATGGATGGATTAGATTGGGATGGCAAGTGGCTGCTGCCCTTGGAACAAATGAGAGCAATCCAAATGGTTGGGGTGAGATTAAATCTCTTCATTAGTCCCTCTTTACAAATAAACAAGCGTGTATAGAACCTACAGCAGGTGTTTTTGTTTTTGTTTTTAATTAGAAATTGTTGGAATCACATCTATGAAAACCATATAATAGCTTTTATTTTAGTCCGAAGCAGAGAGAACCTGTTTGCATTTTAACTAGGCAACATCAGATATTTATCACTTTAAATAGCCTTATTGATTCTGTGTTAGAAGTTGTAGATTACATTCTTTAAAATTATAACAAGATTTAAATGTAGTCATAACAGTTAAGTTGGATTTTGAGATCCTGAACAGGGCCCCGTCTGATATATTTTTAGTGAATTATAGCCTTTAAACACTGATTACCAGATTTGTCTCATTTGAATGTTATTTTTACATCCAGAATTTGTCTTCTGCTTCAGTGCAGCAAAGCATACTGGTATAATCTTATCCTAATCAACAGTGTTTTGTGACTGGGAGGGACTCTTGTCAAAGATCATTATAGGAGCTAGAAAACATTGGAAGGTAGACTGAACACATGACTTTAGCTCTCTTTTTTGGTAGTAGAATATAACTTGCATTCAAAGAGACTGGGGAAAAAAAAGAAAAACATAACATCCCTCCTCCTTAAGCCGTAATAGTGTTGGTTTTGCTGCTATTAAGGTCTTTTAGCTTATAGACTGGAGGATTTTATTTGAAATGCTTGAAATTAAATGCTGCAATGGAAAAGATTTTTTCAGAAATACAGTGTAGGTAACTGTCCCTATTCTTTGTTAATTGGCTCTGCTTGCTTAGCTGAGGAAGTAAAAAATGTATGTCTCCTGGGGAGAGTCTGTGAGTGTAAACTCCCTGTTTTCAAATCTATTTCATATGTTGTTTATCTTACTTAAATATACAGTAGACAGGAGAATGCAAGTGCTGTTCCTTTAATATCAGAACTCTGCACGCTACAATAGGTGTCACTGTTTTGCTTGGTCCAATCATGATTGGTGACTTCAACTATTGGCTCGGAGCTCTGGCTGTCTCACTCCATCTGCAGGGCTGTAATACCTACTCTCCTCCGATCCATTCACCACACAACTTCAGCCGCTGAACAGACTTGCTGGGCTCCAGCACATCTTCCTAACCTAATTCAGAAAACAAGTGCTACAGCTCTGTGCCTGTCATCCTCGCTCAGTGTAGCATTTTCAGGTTACTAGGAAATGCTTATTTTCACGAACAAATAAGAGAAACAGGAATCATGATGGGGATGTATTTAACAGACCCAGTACTGGATAAAACTTAAAGCCAGTTTCTATTGAACATAGTGAAAAAAGGTCACCTTGCCTGGCTGTGGAAAGAAGCAAAATAGCAGCTTGTTGGTTTCTGTTAACATCTCAGCACCGGCTAACCTCTTTTGCTTGATGTTCAAACCAGTTTGGGATATCTAGCTCTAAAGAGAGACATACTGTACTCATGGTAGATGACAAGGAAAAGAACATGAAATGTCTCACCTTCTTCTTGATGCTTCCAGAGACTGTAAAGAATAGGTCCAAGAAAAGCTCGAAGAAAACAAATACTAGCAGCAGTAGTAGCAGCAGCAGCAGCAGCAGCAAGTTGCCTCCAGTTTGTTATGAAATAATTACCTTGAAGACTAAGAAGAAGAAGAAGATGGCTGCTGATATATTTCCCCGCAAAAAACCAGCCAACTCCAGCAGCACCACTGTCCAGCAGTACCACCAGCAGAATCTCAGTAACAACAACCTTATCCCAGCCCCCAATTGGCAAGGTCTCTATCCCACCATCAGAGAAAGGTAAGTGCTGGGCCAGTATATTTACTTTGAAAGTTTTCCTGTGTTGAAGTTTCTCCTTTTGCACAACCTGTAATGTATTTTAACACAAATCTTTGCTTCCTCTTTTCCCAGAAGCTTTATTGGTAATGGAAAACTGCCTTGTATCTTTTCCAAAACACTACAGCTGTTTTCCTCTTAGATAAAAATATTTTTGCAAGCTGTAACATTGAAATGACTGGGCTGTGTGTATGGTCCATAGAAGACAGAAACCTTTTATTTGTTCTTAGCCTTGTGAAAAGTTTGTGTAACTTGTTTTTCACTTGAGTTACTTCCCATGTGTTTGCAATGATTACAAACACAGTTGTTTAGTTAGAACCTTCATTTGTTTTGCCTTGAGGTTATTAAACTGTTGCTTAGCTTTGAATCTTTTGTGAGTTTTCTCTGTTGGGAAGGGGATGTCAAGAATGCTGGTTGCCACTAATTAATGAATTGCCTCTGTTTATAGAAATGCGGTGATGTTCAATAATGATTTGATGGCAGATGTACATTTTGTGGTTGGGCCACCAGGTGGGACTCAGCGGTTGCCAGGACACAAAGTAAGCAACAGCTGCATTACCGGTTTAGTCCTGAGATTTACAAAGAGGGACCCTCTCAGTGAGCCTGAAACTTAGTGTGGGCAGCTTGCTGCTGGCAGGCATCCTATGTTTCACCCAGTTACAAAGAAAGCATACCCTCTCTGAAGGGCTTTGGACACACTGAATTTTTCTTTGTTTCCTTCTACACTATTTTATATCTCCCACAAAAATAAGCATGTCTTATTTTTCTAGTCTTGGGAAGTTGTGACAGGTTTGGAAAGTCAGATGTTTATCTTTCTCCTAGAAATCAGTTAGATAAGCTTTTATTTATTTTACAATGAGGGAACCTGTGCATCACTCTCTCAGAGATTTGAGATAATTAGTGTAGAAACCTTTATATGTGAATCTCTTATGCTTCCTTGGCAGGATACCCTGTACCTTAGCTTTTTCAGACAAACAGGTTTAAGTACTCCCCTGCCCACTAAACCTGATTGCTTGGAGTTGTTTTTCTGGATTGATTTGCAGAAAACACATTCAATTTAGTGCGTGAAATAAGATTTTCCTTTCTCCACAGTATGTCTTAGCTGTTGGGAGCTCTGTCTTCCATGCGATGTTTTATGGAGAACTTGCTGAGGACAAAGATGAAATCCGTATACCAGATGTTGAACCTGCTGCTTTTCTCGCTATGCTAAAGTAAGCATTATTCGTGTATTTGGAAAGAGTTTGTTTATGCTGTATTTTACTCTGCTGGCTTCAGAGTTAAATGTAAGTTCTGCATAACAGAAAAGGAGACTGATGAAGAGAGAGGGTGCTGCTTACCTTGTAAATGTTTTTAGAGAAAACTACTGTTCGTCTTTCAGTGAAAAGTGTGGAGTGATGCAAACATTTATAACCACACCTTGATAAAGGTTTTGGATGCAAGTGGCGTTCTTAGCAATTTGGTTTTTAATAAATTGTAATTAAAAATAAAAGTAACTTTCTGGTAGCATTATTTAATAGGGCATCTTCTGTTTGAAAGCAGTGTGTGTGAAGTCTTCAAATAGTTTTTATTTCGCAGTTCTAGAAATTATATACCTATTTAAATACCACCAATTCAGAGATTTTCAGTTTTCTAATAGTTATGTTGTAGCAGCAGATGCAGAACTTACTCTCTGTTGAAATAATCTGAACTTTGCGTACATGTACATGTATATTCTTTTACATAAAATCAGATATCACTGGGATAAGCATTTATATTTGGTATTAGAGGAAAACTTTCTGAATGGTATAGTTTCCTATAGGTTCAAATAGATTTTATACAGAAAAACTTCATCTGACATAAAAGTACAAGATATACTATGTATTTGTAAAAATAGTGTCGTATCTAGCGGGTTTTTGGCATGCCAATATATGTTAACCATGTACATAAAATCATCTTTGCCATGTATCATTGCCGGACAATGTGATAGTCTCCCGTGTGATTGAAATCTATTTTAAATAATGCTTATTGTACTTCTTAATCTGCATTTCTGGCGCACAGAAGTATGAATTCAAGGTTACCTGCAGTTCTAGGGATTTTACTTCATTGGCTTAAATACAGTGTTTATTGAAAAAAGTTATTTGTTGAGTCAACAAGTTGAACAGTACTTCCACAGAAGATAAAATACTGCTATGGAATTTACTGGCTATGAAAAATAAGTTATAGTTAGTTCCAGAGTTTAAAAATTCTCTTTATTCATATTATAATTTTGAAATCGAACTGCTGCTGACTGGCACTTGCACAGTGGGAGGCAAGGAAATTAAAGGGAAGTGAACATAGAAAGTATCAAAATGTAATCTACCACTGTGCCCTTTGTGATGTTTAGAGATATGTGTATAGAAACCAATTTTACCTGCCAGCATCCCTGCCCATTCCACCAAGAGATGTTAGCTTAGTATATTTGACAGTGTTCTCTGTTACTCAGCAGAATGCAGTAACAGTTCAGCATTTTGGCCTCACTGCACTAAATAGAGTCATTCTGGACATACGCATAATTAGAAAACACCAAGAACAGCAGAGTTACATCTTAACTAGGCCATTTGATTGCACGTTTATTAAGTATCCTTTCACAGATGTATTGCCTAGAACATATATTTATATTAATAAAGCTTTTTACAACTGTACATGCAATCTGTGTAAAGCGCTGAGAATTAGAAATGCAGTAAGGGGCTATTTGTTGCCATGCTATAGCCAGGTTAGTGACAGCCAGGTTTATTCTCCTTCTGCATTGTGGGTGAGTGGCCAGTGTTCCTGGAAAAGGAGTTGGGAGAAGGGGCATGGCTGCTCCCTTGACAGGACCAGGGTAAGCACCTCGAAGTACTGACCATGTTCCTGGAGCATGTCCCCTCATCTCCCCCTAGCTTCACCCCTCCAAAACAGAATCCTAACTAAGCTGCAGCTGTACTGTCAAGTGGCCTTGCTTAGCCTGTCACAGAAGAAGAGGCCACCTGGGAGCAGAAGGAGGAGAAGGCAGGTCCCTTGCAGTTCATGGACGTTTGTCTCATCTCATCCTTGTGTTTTTTACTGTATTGAAGAAATTGTTGCTAATTTCATAAGTTACATGTGTCTTACTAAGAGGAAATATATGCTTAAGCTAGAAAAATTTAACAGTTAAATGTCAGTATTTTTCATTCACAGTTGCCACTGACTGTTTCTTAGGCCAACCACAGCAGTGTAAGAGAAGCAGGCCATTTCTGCCTTTACATACCATTTTTGGGAAGTCAGCATCATCCTCCAAAGTGCCAAGCAGTGTTTCATCTCCTGGGATAGGCAAGGTGTGCAGAAGCACAGAAACTAAACGTTTAAGCCTTCTTGGTTTATCTTCTAATTACCATATCTGCTAATAATGTACTCTTTAATTTTAAAGGTGGAATAAATGTGTGAGGAGAAAGAGCTTAGAAGTTTAGAGTTTGAAAAATGGATACAAAGTATGGATTCTATATAAAGTTAACTGGAAGATAGCATTGATAATCATATTTGGTCATTTATTGACTTTGGAGCTATTTGAAAAATATTTTATATCGTTTTTACCTTGTATTTAGGAAAAATCCAAAAGATGCAATTATTGATGACATATTAAAGGCACTTGTTTTTATCTGAATACAGAAAAATTGCTGTAAAATCATAAATATGCGTATTGTCCTTAAAGCATAGGTGTAGGTCTGTTCTCAATAATGCAGTACATGTTATGGTATTTTGGTGTTTTTTTCTGTAATACGGCTCATGTGTGCTGGCCAGCACATTTTCACATAGTTGTATTATGTTCTGTTTTTGTTGAGAAGACACTGAATACATTTTAAATGACAGAGGCTAGCATTGTATTACCTAGCTAATGCTTTTCATCGTACAAACTTACTACTGAGTTGAAATGTTTTAATTTATGAATATATTTCAGATATTTCTTTAAGCATTTTATAGTAACACTCACTTAAGATGATGTTCTTGAGACAAACTTCCAAGTAGTTTCTTTGCTTGCTGCTCTTTTTCTGAAAGCTCTATTTACACGTTGTATGCTTTGTTTCAGATATATCTATTGTGATGAAATTGACTTGGCTGCAGACACAGTGCTGGCCACACTGTATGCTGCCAAAAAGTACATTGTCCCTCACCTTGCCCGAGCCTGTGTGAATTTCCTGGAGACCAGCCTGAGTGCCAAGAACGCCTGTGTGCTGCTCTCCCAGAGCTGCCTATTCGAAGAGCCAGACCTGACCCAGCGCTGCTGGGAGGTGATCGATGCCCAGGCTGAGTTAGCTCTCAAGTCTGAGGGGTTCTGTGATATCGACTTCCAGACGCTAGAAAGCATCCTCCGCAGGGAAACTCTGAATGCCAAAGAAATTGTCGTTTTTGAGGCAGCTCTCAACTGGGCTGAAGTAGAATGCCAGCGACAAGATCTAGCCTTGAGCATTGAAAATAAACGCAAAGTCCTAGGAAAGGCACTTTACTTAATCCGCATACCCACAATGGCCCTTGATGACTTTGCAAATGGTGCTGCCCAGTCCGGAGTATTAACTCTCAATGAGACCAATGACATCTTCCTCTGGTACACTGCGGCCAAAAAGCCTGAGTTGCAGTTTGTGAGTAAAGCCCGCAAGGGTCTCGTCCCCCAGCGCTGTCACCGTTTCCAATCTTGTGCCTATCGGAGCAACCAGTGGCGCTATCGGGGCCGCTGTGACAGCATCCAATTTGCAGTTGACAAGAGAGTATTCATTGCAGGCTTTGGGCTGTATGGCTCCAGCTGTGGCTCTGCAGAGTACAGTGCCAAGATCGAACTCAAGCGTCAGGGCGTTGTCTTGGGGCAGAACTTGAGCAAGTATTTCTCAGATGGGTCCAGCAATACCTTCCCTGTGTGGTTTGAGTACCCAGTGCAGATCGAGCCAGACACCTTTTACACAGCCAGTGTGATCCTGGATGGCAATGAACTCAGCTACTTCGGACAAGAAGGCATGACGGAAGTTCAGTGTGGCAAAGTGACTGTCCAGTTTCAGTGCTCCTCAGATAGCACAAATGGCACTGGTGTACAGGGAGGGCAGATCCCTGAACTTATATTCTATGCTTGAAACTTTGCCTCCCCAAAGCAGTGCAAGCCACAGGTGCATATCTGGTCCCTCCTTGCTTAATGCGTAGCTCATCTGCAGATAAGCAATCAGTGCAGGTAATTTGTAATGAATGACGTGGTAGGCAGTTTCTAATTTCTTTTAACCTTTTAATTATGTACAGGCTAAAACGCAGCATTCTGCTTTTAACTGTATACTTAAGAGTCAAGTTCTTACTAAAGCTTTGTGGTTTTTAGAGTTGCTCTGTACACCAAAAGGAGAGATTGTACTCTTCCATGTGCCCCGCCGATCTCCCAGTTGTGTCCCTCTGAAGAAAGTTTGGGATCGCCTCAAATTTCCTTCTGGATTTTATTGGATGAATGGAAATAGTCTAAAATAGTAACATAAAGAATTATTTTTAAACAGAAGCCCTTGCCCCTTAAAAAAAAGATAAATCTCTGTGTACAATTTTGGAAGAAGTTGTGGTTTATAGGAGGTAATGACTTAGAAAGTAGCCAGTAGTCATATTTAGCTCTTACTTTATTCCTTTTAAATTTGTTGTTTCTGGGCTTTACTTTTTAAATTTTAAATTCATAAGATTATTACATATTAAATCAGTGTTAGTGTAAAATAGGAAAGTAAGGAATTGGGTGTTTAGGCCATGGCTTTAACTACAAAGCAGATTTATATTTTTGTTTACAAGACAAGATATCACTGTACAGCGTACTTCTTTTAGAAGTAACACAATTACAAAATTTTATTGTCAATAGAAAAAAATTTTAGGCTTGCTCATTTACATTAAAGTAGTTTAAAAAGAAAACCTAAGAAAGTTCTGTACCACAAATAGTGTAATTAAATGACACATTAGAGTACACAGTTTGAAAAAGCCAAACCCCTTTCTTGCCATGTAGCTTTGGATCCTAGCTATTTGCTTTTTTTTCTGTCACATTGTATAGAATTCCTTTTCTCTTTCTGCCCATTAAAAGAGGACCAAACAATTCTTTAGAGGAAGGGAGTAATAGTTTTGTAGGACTACATGTTAATGTGATAAAGTTTTATTCATTGTTTTTAATCTGAAATATACTTTATTTGCTCTTTGACCATATCATCTATCTTATTTGTTGATTATAGTTCTGTCTTGTTGAACTGCTAGAATCTGGCCTCTGGCCATTTTACAGTGCCAATATATGTCTGCAGGGTTTTTGAGCAACACACTTGATTATGCCTAATATTCACTGCATCAGCATTACGCTAGCTCTTTCATTTGCCCATGGATAATGTAAGCAAAGGAGGGAAGTGCTCATTAAGAAATTCTCCTTCAGTGATGGCTTGTGTTGGTTTAGTGCCTGTGACCCTGCAGTGTCCAATGTGTCACTGCCATGTGAAGTGTCCATGTGTTTCTGGGCAGCTTCTCTGCTCAGTGTGATCCTGAGATGGCTTTCTCCACCACCTAGAGTGTGGTCCCTGGCCACCTCCTTCTCCTGCTCCACAAGTCCAAAACTGGCTTGTCTGGAGCCAGGGGTTAGTCCTGGGGTGTGTGTGTGCCTGCGCGCCTGTGCGCATGGGATTGCCGACTCAGGAATTGCCTCCTCCCTGCCTGGCTAGTGAGAGGCTGGACAGGAATGGTCCCCCTGCTGGCCCCAGCAAGGCCCAAGGAGTGACTGCCCTTCCTTACTGTGCTTCTGGGCTGCTTCCTCCCCTGGAGGCATGGGCTTGTTGCCTTTGGCCAGCTGCCCTGATGGAGGAGAACACTGGATTATGGGAAATGTTTCATTCATGTTTGCCATTACCTCTATCTGTGAATAGTTATTTCTTATTAGGGAGATTACAGGTAGTTTTGGCAAAGCATTGATGAAATAGAGGCACATTTTCAATTAAAAATGCTTCTACAAAGATTTTGTTTTTAAGTTATGGTTAAACATTTCAGTAACTCAGCACTACCATGCAAATTGGTGGGCCTGATGGCACCTGGTGGCACTGTTTTAGGCCAGAGGAGAAGAAACTTGAGTGCTGATTTCATGCTATCACATCGTTGAGGTCAGTGTGAAAGCCTCAGAGTGGTGTCATTCGTTCACTGCTCACTTTAGAGCTCCTGTTACTGAGCTGCCCTCCTTGAGGCTGGTGGCTTGCTGTGTGAAACCACAGGAGATCCATACACTGCGTGTTCCACTTAATTTTACACCAGTTACTCCTGTGCCCACCATCAGATTGCCCTGTGCCAAAAGCTGTGGGTAAAATTTGAAAATTGTATTAGAGTAAGAAATTTTATATTTTGAACCCTATTCTCCTTTCTGCATTTTCAGCAAAATGGAGTGAAAGCTAATGTGCTTGCTTTGGGTTTATTTTTGTTTTTTCGGTCATTTTGAATTTTGTAGCTTTTAAAAGTAGAAACCATTATTCTGACAAGGCAAACAACTCTAGTATATAAATACAACTTTATTAAACAATATGCTATAGATGCTTTTCCCAGTGTATCTGGCAGTCTTTGTTGTTCATATGGGGGAAAAAGGGTAACTAGGCTAGCAGTTCTAATGTAACATTCTTTAAGCATATCTTAAAATAGTATTTAAGTAAATGTCTAATTTCTCCATGATTATTGCACTGGACTGTCTTCTTGTCTTTTTTTTTAAGGTGTTTAAATAGCTAATTCAAGACACTGTAGCCACTTGTGCATCAGTGCTTGACTTTAGCAGCTTACAACATTATTTATGAAGGAAAATATATAAATATGAAGTACCTCATGTTGAATGTTATTGTACTGTATTTTTAATGTAACAGTGCAGATCTTGTTAGACACATGAATGTGTATAATCATGTTAAATGCAAATAAAATAAAATTGGTTCATAGATTTGTTTCTTACATTTTTGTCACTCCCTTAAGATAACAGAAGATTCATTCTGGCACTCTTGGTGCCATTGTATTTTACAGAGATAGTTTTTCAGGAGCATTTGTTTGCTAAGTGTTTAGGTATCTTTGATTCCTAAAGAAGTAAAAATTTGAGGCAAAAGCATAAGAGAAGGTGGACATGTTAATGAGTGCATTGGTCAGAGCCTGACTCTTACGAAGAAGGAGTGAATGTATGCATTTATAGTCCTTTATGGACTCACAGTTGGCTGGACTATTCCTATTATGGACTCATTCTGATGCTATACTTGCTCAAAGATCTGGATTTTCCTGCATGAAGGGGGTCTTGTATTGAAAAAAGTCTGGCTTCTAACGTGACCAGTACTGCTGCTTCCTCCAGTGTTACAGTAGCTTAGGTTTAGGAATAAAAGATAAAGTGCTATATGAGAATTTTTAATATAGTGATGTACTCAAATGCTGTTTCCCATATCAAGTACATATATACACATAACATAAAACGCTATACATCTGTTTAACAATTTCATCTGCTCAGGATTCACTTTCTACAGCATACCTACTCAAAAGATTTTTTGAGTTACTCCAGAGAATAAAGGAACTGGAACTCCATATTCTCATCAGCTTAATCACAGTTACAACCTGAATTGCAAAGATTTTAATCCCAGAAAGTCTTCTTCCATTATCTCTTCTGTGTTGCTATTTAAACTTAATCCACATTTGTTTGTTTTTACTATTCCAAGACAATTGGGAACGCTTCCCTCCAATCTTAAGACTCAGGATGACTCTTATTGAATTAACTCTTTTCTTCCCAGTTGACTGCCTTGCCTGGGAAACCATAGATTTAAACTTGGGAGAAAACAGGGAGATGGAAAGAATTTCTGGAGCTGCAACAAGCAGGTGCTCTGGAAAACTATGTTAGAGCAAGGTTGCAAGTGCCATGGGGGCTTCAGTGGGACATGGGTGCACTGTTTGGATTGCTATTTAAGACATTTCAGCATTTTATTTATTCATCAACTACTTTCTGTACTCTGTTTATACTCTAATTTTCAGAATATACATTCCTGTCAAAGCTAATACTGGAGAAATTTTCCAAAAATAAAATATACTGATTTATTTCCATAACCAGTATTAGCACTGGTGAAAATGTTCTTAACCAAGAAACTTCCGAATAGGTGAGATGAAAATATTTCTGAAGGCACCATCAACCGTGTTGCATGCTAAGCAGGAACTATAGACCCGTCCCTGAAGAATGCTAGGGTACATTTTTCCCAGTGTGAACAGCTCTCCAATGTTACCTTTTCTGAGCCTTTTTTAGGGTGGAGGGCAGTGCGGAGGGTATAGTTCCTATTTATGCAGACTCTTGCTTACAGTCATTTTGCATTTAAATGTTCAGAAGAAAACAGCTTTACTAATATTACCCACTGATCCCCGGGACAGAATTTAATACAGGGCCTTCCCACTGAGCTATATCCCCAGCCCTCTTATTATTTTATTTTGAAGTAGGGTCTTGCTGAATCTAGAATTGCTTAGGCTATGCTTGAATTTGCAATCCTCTTGCCTTTGCCTCTGAGAGTGCTAGGATTACAGACATGTACCACCATGCCTGGGAGTAGATGTTATGTTACATTATGGGATTTCAAAAGGTCCCAACCTCAAAAGATGGTTAAAACAACTACCTCTTATAAAATAAACTCACCCATTGCAATCTGGCCTTTATATAAAAGTCTGGATATAATAAGATGGAATTACAGTTACCTGTTATACTACTAGTACTTCAATGCTAGTTTACTCTTACTTCCCTTTGAGCTTTTATTAGTGACCAGAGTGTGTATGTGTTAAAAGTTACTATAAGGATGATATCCCTTTTTATATTACAATAGTACAGAAAGTAATTTCAAAATTAAGACATACTTCGTAGTTTTACTACTTCGGTGGACAACTTTAATAGATTATCTCTTCTTCATAATTTCATCAGTTTTTGTGGGGGGCTGAAATTATGCCTGCCCCACACCCCAAAGTCATACTAGTGTCCTTTTTAATTTTAACAGAAAGGGCTGCAATAAATCTGTGAACTGTTAGTATATTGCATGGAGGCTGTTTTGTGAAAAACTAGAAACATCTCATAATATTGTGATATGTAGCAGTCTTTACAGGGGTTTACGATTTTCATTTCCTTTCTCGAACTACTATTTAAAAAAATTCTCATCAGAAAGATAGTAACTCTTTAAGGGAGCTCTAATCTTTCAGATCTTGAAGCAGAGGGTACAACCTCCGCTATACTGTGGAATGTACTTTTGAGACGTTTATGCATCTTACGGGATTCTCATTTTTGCGCTTCTCTTAAACAGTTTTAAACATTAAATTATTTCAGTATCCTTCATTACAGTGATGAAACAATGCACTGAGCCTTAACCAGCTCAAAATTAAAAGTTGACATACTCATAGATCTTCACTATTAAGGAAAAATCCAATTTTAAGAATATTTAAGGCATTAATGGACTAAAGAATATAGTGTCTGCTGCATAATTTAGCTCCCCAAAGAGACAAGGTTTAATGGATAATTCAAAGGATTAACCCACATTCATTCACTCATTGATCTTTTATTGATCCTTTGCTTCGTCCCAGGCAGAGGTGCTAGGGAGTTAGAGATCATAAGATGCAGTAGATTGTGTGTACAGGGGAACTTGTGGTCTGCTGTGGTGCTGCTCTGCTGTTGCAGGCAGAAGAACCCTAAGTGGCTGGACCATACTCCTAGAAATTCTAATTTGCTGGGTTTGAGGTGAGAGATTTGCAAAATCACATCCAAGGGGCCCACGTGGTGCTAATGCTCCTCCACAGGTCATGCTGAGTATTGCTGTGCTAACAGTAATGGGTAGAGGAGGGAGGTTTTTGAGTACAAATCGGTAGTTTGAAGGGAAGGAAGTGCTGTGGCTATGAGCAGATCCTGAGAGGGGCTTGAAGACCAGCCTTGAGGTGGGAGAGGAAAAGATGTGTGAATTGGTCTTTGAAGGAGACATTAGATTTGTCTAAGTGAACATTGGTTATAGAAATTGTCCTGGGGACTGGGAGCAGGGAGGAAATCCCACAAGAGAAATCCCTAGGGGGATTAAATGGCCAGCAGCTCAGTATGGTTCTAGTGGTCTATGTGGATGAAAGCCACTAAAACACCTATTGTGTGCGATGTTTGGAATAGGATAATGAACTGGCAGAAACAACATGCAAGCACTTCATACATTAGTCTAAATTACTTGGCTTTTATCCACAAAAGCCCTGATGTCAAAGACAGTTGATCATATCTGCAAGACCACAGTTGTGTTTTAGAAACCTTAGGAAGATACACTGGTTCAGACTGGAGGCAAGAGGAATGGGTAAGCCATGAAAGTAATAAATGGAGACTAAAGTGGAGCTGGGGATGGAGAGACAGTTAAAAATTCTAGAAAACTGGAGGGAAGACTCCCCAGGATGTAGTGGACCTCTTAACATGCAGTTAAAAAGAGGCTTGCTGAAGTTTCATGAAACCTTTTCCTTAGATTTGTTCTTATAGAGCAGGAAGGAAAACTGCTTTTCCTGTACCATAAGAAATTGGTTGATAGATAGTTCTTTTGGTTCTGTTCTCAGATTCTTTTAGGAAGAAGGCAAAAGGAGAGTGGATCAATGATGATGAACCTTTTCACACAGCTCACTGTGGCATGCATGCTGTAGGTTCGCCACCACTGGTATAGATGTTAAAAGTAGCTCAGATCCTGGAGCAGGACTGCCACTTGGATTTGAACCTTGGCTCTAGCTGCAAGGACCTTGGACAAGCTACTTTACTTCTCTGAGCCTCTGGCCCCTCCAGGAAGATGAAAGTAATAATAGTGCCTTTCTCATAGTGTTATTAAGACAACTAAATTAATATTTCTAAAGCACTAGTAAGTACTTGACAAACAGAAAGTGCCATATAAATGTTAAGTGAAACAAAATACAGAAGTTTGTGAACTAAACCTGTGCACATTCCTCACATGCATTTATATAAACCAATGTTTAGCTTAAACACATTTAAACAAATTGTCAGTGCACACAATTAAAGTCATTTTGTTGCTATTTTAATTCATGATCAATATCTACAGAGGAAGTTCCAAAGTATTTTACTGTTGAGGAATTCTCAGACTTTGACCAAATTTCTAATAAATATTTCAGTTTTGCCATGTTAATGAGATACAAAAATGATTTATTCTGATGCAGATGTATTCTAGTATATCAGATGCCTTTCTGCTAGGGAATTGTCTAGGATTCCTCAGAAAATTACTCTGTAAAGAGTGAACGCATGTGTGCATAACAACTTTTGGAGACAGTTTCTAGGGAGAGTCCATTTTGCAGGAGGAAAATACCCTTTACTCATTCTGGTGTTAAAATAGCCGCTTTTACTGTGGCCTAAAATCATAGGCAATTTTGGATTATATCCCCTTCTCCAAATATTTTCAGATTTCAATGAGCTTTATCATTGAAATTATATTCTGTGTGTTGAGAGCAGGTTTGACCTTTATTATGAGTGATATGAATGTTACAGGGAATATTTAAGTTGCTAATTGCTTTTATTCAAGTAAACACAGGGATGCTAGGAGCAGGGGCACCTCATGGTGCCACCACAGTTGGTGGCTCTTCACCTCTGCCTTTGCACAAATGCCCCCATCTCTGTGTGCTCACCTAGTCCTTGAGCCATGCTGGGACCGTATTTCCCAAGGGTACTGATGACCCAGAAGTTAATTTGTTTCTTTTTTCAGGGCCAGATTTCTGCTATTGTGTAAGAGAAACCTGTAAGAGCTCCTGCCTGCCAGGAGATTCTTGTTTAGTAGTTACAGGGTATCAGTCGCCTTGATTTATGTGAAGATGGGAAGGGATCATGGAGATTCTGCTGCTCCTGAAAGATTGAGAGCCCCTGATGTAGACAGATCTTGCACACCCAGGTGGACTTAAAACTTCAGCATCCCGTTCCCGGCCAGGA